GGGGGGGGGGGGGGGGGGGGGGGGGGGGGGGGGGGGCACCGACGCTAAACCACTGATTCCAACCCCATTCCTCACTTAGTTGGAAAACTACCATTCTCCGTCCATTTCAATCATAATTGCGTGAAAATATGAAATCATTCCGATTCCACGACTATGCTGATACCTCCTGCCATCAGCCTATATTGACAGTGATTTCCGTTTTACCTTATACCAGCCTGGGAAGATTCACGTGTCGGAGAGCTCAAGACATCTCCTGCAACAAGAAGGTGGATTCACTCTCACCTTCCGTGGCAAGATCACTGTCAAGGTCAGTCTCATTCCAACCTCTGTCAAATTTCTCTTCATGATTCCGTGATCCCTTTTGAAAGCCCTCGATGATCGATTTTTTATCGCACGAAATAGAAATAGATGGTCCAAAACCCAATCGCTCGCGGGGTAATGGATTTTCGATAGATGTATCGAATTCGGGGCTCATCCTTTCTAAAAGAAAAGGGAAGCAGGAAACGGCAGAAATTCCTCCTTGCCTCCTTTCTTTTCCTTCGGAGTTAGATTGATGGCTCGCGACGGCGGCTAGTTCCCTGTGGATCATTATTTTCCTCTCTATCCCAAGCAGAAATGGAAGCGAATCTTACCCGCAATTACTCTGGGTCATTCAGATTTGAGGAAATCGAGTTTTCACAACGGACTTGTTCCCACTTTTTCGTTGCAGGGGAAAGGTGAGATGAACACGTACTGGCTGAGCGAGGAATGACGTCCTCGACCTCTATCGGACAGAGTCTCAACTGACGACTTCCGTCTGGACTTTCACAGGTGTCGTATGAATCGCCGCTCTCGCTCTATCGATTTGCTGGCGGTCTCGTGTAAATTTCGACCGATCGGAAGAAAGTAAAGACCAGTGTGGCAGCAGACGAAAGAAGGCAGTCCTTTGTTTCCTGATTCGCGTGCGATTGGAAGCGGGAGGATCGGTGACATGAATGTCTGGCAGTGGGACGGATGGCTCTAGAGTCTAGACTCCACGCCTAGACCTAGGCCACTGACATGAAGAGAAAACAGAAAAAGGCTATCTGCCCTCATCTCCTCCTTCCTCTATCGTTTGTGGTCGAAACGAGAGGAGAGGATGGGGAGATGAAAAAGTAATTCACACATCACAAAACAAACGATCAAGGAACCGTGACGCCGATTATGATGATGATGATGATGATCACAACCAGAGGTCCTCGAGGTGAGTCAATGGCTTCCCATAGAGTTCCTCTTCGTAGAGGATAAGCTGTTGAAGAAAAGTCTCGGTCGGCAACAACACCCGGCGAAGTCCTTTCAAATAGTAGTAAGCGTCCTCCAGAGAACAACACAGAGTCGTCATCAAATACGCCATGACCACCACGGGGCTTCGATTAACTCCCTACAACAAAGAAAAAAGAGGCACAATTGGCTTTCAACAATTTGACCTCTGCACGATAGAATCATCGTCGGCAATCAATTTGATACGAAACCATTTTTGAAGGATTGACGAGTTTACTGAACGTTACAAAATTACAGAGAAAATCCACACTTCTCACCCAAGTATCTTTCATGACCTTTCTTGTTTCAAGTGTACTACGATGATAGATTTCTCTAGATTACTGTTTCTTAAATTATCACAGCGCAGGGTGTGATAGAACTTGAAAGGCGAACAAATGATGGCATCTTCGGAAGATTGGTCTACATCACGCTGTATTTTTAATCTGAAAGAATTCTGACGTCCATACTGTAATTTGCATTGGTTTTATATTCTCTAATACGACAAACCGCTTGGACAGTTGGAAAAAAATTATCACATGCATTTACTACTTTTCTGTTTGCTCATGCTTTCGAGTCGATTCTGGAGAATTCCCTCTTTTCCGACGTTATCTGCACGATTGGAGACACGAATAGTTCGCGCACGAATGGAGCATGAAGGAGGGGAAAGGACAGGAGAGGACCTGGTCGCAGTGAACGAGGAGGCGTCCCTTCTGAAGCGTGGCCTCCCTCATGAACTGAAGGATGGTGGGGAGCTTTTGAAGCAGATCTGCGGGTGACTCCTCGCACAAGGGACAGATGAGATACGAGACCGTGGGGAATATCCCGATCGGAATCGTATCCGTGAGGCAGACGATATGCGTCAGATCCAGGCTCCTCACGATCGCCGGATTCAGGGCTTGATCGGCCCGTCCCAGATAAAGGCTTCCCTCCTGGATCATCAGAGGATACCAGTTGAGTGTGATGCTTCGTTCGCGGATCGGGAATTGGTTCTTGGTCAGCAGATACGGGCACGATGCCTCGATACCCTCTATTCCTCCAGTCAGGCACAAGGGCTCGAACCTGCGAAGGGAACGCCATCTTTATTTTTTTTCCCTTCTTCTCTCGGGGATATCGTGATCTTATACGCATGCTATGGGAGCTCATATTTCCATTCTCTTCCATCGATCAAACCTTTATGGCTTGCGGATATTTGAATCGGAAGGGTTCAGCTCTCCACGATGAAATCCATATTTCAGGGGAAGTCTTTCTTCTCCTCTATACGTGAACCCATTTCAGGGAATTCTGAGAATGAATGAACTAGATCAGGGATGTCAAACTGAAATCGGTCGGCGGGCCGCACTCCTTACCCTGCAGATGCCTACGGGCCACACCCATAATTTTCCCCCGAAATTTGCGCGAAGTCAATCCGAGTGGAAATTTCAAGAACAGACGGCGGGCCGGATGAACCACCTCCGCGGGCCGTATGTTTGACACCCCTGAACTAGATGAATCTTTAATGGACAAAAGTAGCTAAAGTAGACAAGAACTTACAACTTGTGAATGCTTTCTTTGCAGCTTAGGAAAATTTGCATCGGGTCGATTAGCCTCTGACACTGAAAAAATCCCAAATACTTAAAGATTCTATGGTCCTTGGACAGATGGAATTCAGTCCCGAGGACAGAATGTTATGCTTGAAATGGTAGAAATCCCAGTCTACTTCTAACCCCCTTAAAAGACAAGATACAGAGGAGAACCGTTATTTGTACAGAAGGTTTCATTATTTTTACATTACATCCTTTCCGATGTCGTCTGTACTCCACACGAATAAGTGGAATATTCTTAATTCCCTTCTAACAAGTTTCGCCTCCTTTGAAGGGGACGAGTCTTCCCCTAAGTCTCCGTTATATCATCCTTTAACCTTTATCGGACGAAAGGGGCAACTGCTGTCCCGCAGAATGCCATTTTTCCATGGCCGAAAGGTACAAATGCTGTACCGCAGCTTTTTGTTTAAACGTTCTGATACTACATCAATAAAGGCTTCACCGTCGACAGTTCATTTTAGAACAATTGCACTACTCAGCTAGCGAGTGTTTAGGAGCTGCGTAGAAAAAATCCGGCTACCAGCGCTTACACGGGAGATTTAAATCCTTAAGATAAAGGTTTAAAGAAAATTTTTCGCTTCTCGTTGTCTCTTCGGTGGTTCATGGAGGGAGATGACATGTTTGCACCACTGTATCCTCTTTCCATCGGCGAGTAAACCATTGCAGAGCTCTGCAGGGCACACGCCAGGGACGAAGTCAAAAAGAATCCGAACTCTGCCTCTTGGTTCTGGCAAAAAGTCTCTCTCTGAGAAGCGTGGATCGTGATCGCAGCGACCACTGCGAAATGTGCTACCTATTCCTCCAGTCTCGCATTCCACAAGGTTCAACATCCACATTAGGGAAACCTACTTCCTGTTTCTGTCGTGCCTCACACGCCATCACACTCCAAATAAAATGCAGGTTCTTCACAAGTGCTAATCTCACGGTTCTTAACGAAGCCTGAGAGAAACAGTGACAGAAGAAAAACCGGTCTGGCAATTTCGCCCGGCGTAGGCCTACATGACACGAACGAACGAGAAACGAATAGAATCGTAAAAGGCGTTACGAGTACCTTCGGTTTCGTAGCGAGTCGAAGAGTTTCCTCAGATTGGAGTCTTTGTTATCGAGTCCCGTCCCGTCCTGGTCGTACATGACGATGAGGCTGAACTTGAGGAAATCGAAGTTCTTCTCGGAGAAATTGATGTGTCCGTGCCATCTGGCGGTGATGACGTGGGAATGGACGAACGCTACCTCGCTTCTCGTGTCGATCACGACGACGTAGAAGGGATTCTTAAGAAATGGGGCGTAGAATCCGTCGTAAATGAGGTTGTGGAATCGCTTCACCGAGATCCTCCCCGATGTCGATCCGTTGTCGCAATCCAGGGAGATGGGCATCTTCTTCAGCCCGTCCAGTTCCTGAGACGCCTCTATTGAAAAAATAGAGCCTCGCGTTTGGTCGCGTGAAAAAAATGAGTCGTCTGTAAAAATTCTCACGTGGTAGAAACGCTTACACGAGGTCACTCGATCGCGCGATGTAAAGAATAGAGTCATCGAAGGTCGTGATAGTGAATATGTTATGAGTGAGTTGAGATGAAGAAATGGCACGCGAAAGAGTACGAAGCCCGTGATAACGTATCGATGGTAAACACGACACGTTACATGAATAAATGGGATAGACATTATTCTGGAGTGGAGTGTGGTTTTGAATGAGAGGAGATGGATTTGACGGAGAGGAGATTGGGTTTGACGCAGGACGCCGAGGCAGAATGGGCGAGTCTCCTAGCAGGCTCCACATGTGTGTGTGTGTCTTTCTCTCTCTCTCTCTCTCTCTCTCTCTCCCCCTCTCTCCCGTTCTACCGATAGGACATCCTATCGAATTTCCATTCTCCTATTTCGGCCCTTTGCCTTCTCGTGGAGCTAATGGAAGACAGGAAAGGACATCCCGATGCGATCCGATGTTAACTCTGCTTTGGGCTCGGGCCAGACAACGAACGGAAAGCTATTCCCATTTGGTCTATCGCCAAAGGATAAAGTAGTGCCAACGATCGGAGGTGAAAGGTCATCCACGGAGGAAGCGAAAATGGACGAAAGACTCACCCATTTGATACTGAGAGACCCGTCCCAGCGTGGACTTTTTCCACTTGCACTTCTTCGACGGTCCACAACCCATGACGCAAATCGAAAAAGATGACCGACGGGCGAAGTCAAGAGCCACCGTTCATCGTCGTCGTCGTCGTCGCGTTTATCGCTTGCGGTTCACGGAATGCACTCGCGGATCGTGTTGATCGAATGAGAGGGACTGACTCTCCATATGCGCCCATGCTTTTCTCCCTTCTCCTCCCTTCTCCTCCCCTCCCTTCCCCAAGCCAAAGCTCAGTCGATATTTTTGCACCACCTCCCCCCTTTAGCGCAGACTTTATTTTCGCGCTCTCCCTTCTCTCGCCATCGTATGACGATATCTGGCAAATATTTCGTCTCTCTCTGCTTTGAAATTCTCTGGTATCGTTCGTTCGGAGATGCTGACGAAGGATCGTGAAATAAGGAGGGTATTGAAGTCTGTCCCAAGACCCATAGAGAAAGACAGGGACAGAAATAAACGAGAGGGACAGAGAAGAGTGAGAGAGAGAGAGAAGGCCGTGCCGTGGGCCCCCTCCTTAGTTCCATTATTTTCTCCTTTTTTCACTATGACTCATGGTGATATTATATGCGGCTGCCTGGTCGTTAATCTGACCGTTATCGAGCGCTCGGAACCCCGTAAGACGCGCCAAACGACCCCAGGACTCTTCAATATCCCGTCGGAATGCCGCACAAATTTCTCTTTGCCATGGAAATCAAAGTCCGGGATTAGTATTACAGGCAACCATCGTCTGTTAGCAGTTAACGGGAAATTAGCGAGGAGTGCAAATTAATGTGTACGTTGAGGTCTGAGCAATGTTTCCAATCATAACACGTGAGGAGCGGTGGAGAAAAAACACTGGCAAGGTCTATTTTTACTCGCGTAGAGGAAAGGAAAGAGAGAGAATTGGGTCAGGATTTGGTCGTTCCATCCGAGATCTCTGCATGAGAAATTTTTGGCACGAGTGCTCCGTGAATGCGTTAAAAACCTCATTCTTAGGGGTAGGGAAAATTCCAAAAACACGTGTGCACATGGAGACCGAGACAAACTGGTTCCTTAGCCTCCCTCACTCCCCGTTTTTTTCGCGAGAGGAGAGAAAAATAACGAAAAGGGGAGAAAATGAAATTCTGGCCCATTTCGCATTCAAGATGAGTATCAATCCCTTCCTCGAGGCGTGAGCAAATTTGTCATCATGTGAGGGCATATTGGGCTCGGAACGACATTCCTTGGCCATGAAAAGCATATCAATGAAGCCGTGCCGAACCGAAGGAATGAGAAATTGCAAACCGTAAGACCGAAAGAAAGTGAAGTCAGTTGTTGAATGGGACGTTGCCGTGAGCGGATGATGAATGAACGGCGGGGAGTGTGGATCGTGCACTGTATCCATCATTTGGAATCTGATGTGCCGTGGCCTCCTGCCAACATGCCGGGTCGTGATAGATAGGTCATCGTTCCCTCTTTCCATACCTTCCTCCGTATTAACCTTCATCGGAACAAGGTATTTTTTTGACACAAGCGGCCGAGGGCAAACGTGTTGAGAATTTTTTTTTTTTATCGAAAGGCAAATCAAAACGTAAAAAATATCGGCTTTGTATCTATGGTTTTCGAAAGACACATTATATTTGTAAAATATGTTTGGAAAAATTGCCAGAGAGTAATGCAATGAGAGAGTCCGATGGACTCCCCTTGCCCGGATGAGGATTAAAGATCGCGATCTCGCGAAAGGACTCGAGCGCGAGCCAGGTTAGAGCAGAACCGACGAGTGTCGTCGCATCGTCTCGATCTCGAACGTCACGTCGTGATTTCCTCCTTCCGTTCCCGACTTCTCCTTTACCTCGTCGTTTCTCACGGAGAAGGAAGGTTAAATCTGTTGACGGAAACTCGACGTCCTGCGGGAACCGTGACGGTGACTCGGGGAGAAAAGGTTATCCGAGTTTGACGACGCCTCGTTCCACGATGCCGAGGTTACCGTAAGCGAACGGAACGGAAGGAGCGAGTTGCACGCCCCCGGATCCGAAGGGTGCGTGTCACGCATCGGCGATTCGCAAATCAAGAGAAGACCGTGGGAATCTCTTGGGATGCCCGACACCAGGGAAAGTCAACCCCCTTTGGTTTTATTCTTAGAGGTATTTTTCACCGAAGAACAAAATACGAACCTTTCGCGCCTTTTCCTCTCCACCGACCGGGTAGGAATACAATAAATTATACATTCATAAAATACGCACGAGTTTGATCCAGGTACGCAAGCACACGGGGAAGGGAAGAAATTCTTCACTGGGGTCGTTCCGGGACGAGCTCGTTTGTTTCGTAGAGATCCATGGATTCCTCGAGGATGTCTTCCGGGTCGATGGTAAAATTCCCCGATGCCAACGATCCGATGCCCAATCGTCGATTGTTTTCCGATATGGCGCTGCATTCCGGGTAGGCGTCATCGCAGTCTTTCTCGTTCCGTCCCAACCAGATGGCGTAGAGAAACTCCATGACCTTTCCCGCCGGTCGACCCAGGACCCACGCCGACGGCAAGCTAACGCACATCGAACAAAAACGATATCATTCTTTGCCCTCGGACGGAAAAGTCGTCTCGACGAACATCATCGTTTCCGCTTTTTATCGCGTTTGTTCCCGTTCTTTGGGAAGGAACGGAAGAAGCGAAGAAAGAAATTCCCATGGGATATCCGCGTCGAAGGGGACCCGCAATTCCTACCGTGACGTCATCGTTAGCTTCGCACCTACGCTCCAAAGCTCCCGTGACACGTGGCACCGATGCTGTCGCGACAGAGACAAACGATTTTCACGTTCCTCGTCGTCTGACGTCATCGATGTTCCTCATGCGTGCACATTTGCATCGGCGGCGAAGAGGAAGGGAGAATTGCTAGCGATTCCGTACTCGGTCGGCAGATGGAGTTTTGCAAATGCGCATTCCGTCGCTACTTTCGGATATCGTCACCTTGCTCGGTCGCGGCCGTGCAACGAGAAATCTACTCGGGTCTCTGAATCATTTTCTTTTCCTATGAAATCCTTCAGTTCACACCGCAACTTTTATTATTTACCGGACGACAAAAACTTTTGAAAACCTCCAAAGTGAAATGTCTAAAGACTAGAGACTTTATAAATGAATGCCTAAACATCGAGCGGCATGGCACGTTTATGCCGGAAATTTTCAGACAGTAACTTTCAAATGTCCTCGAAGAGCATCAAGACTTGCGACGTTTTACCTCGAGGTTTTGAAGAGTGCAACGCACGCGAGTAAAAACCACGATACAGACATAAATGGAACGACTCCGAGCGAAGATGTATTTTTAGGAAACACGATGAGACACGAATGCGTTTTAGGACGTTTTACCTGACGAGTGGGACGATGGTGGAGAGGGGTTCTCCTCCGAAAGTGGCGACCTTGTTGATCTTACACAGGTGACTCCGGGTGCATTTGGGGACGAATCCGTACTTGTAGGTCAGCATGAGGTCGTCGAGGAGTCGCAGGATCACCTCGTTCTCGTCGATGAACTCCAGGTCCGCCTCGGAGGCTGCGGAAAACGAAGGCGTGCGAATTAAAAATTTAAAGTGAAGAGCAAAATGGAGGTAGCTTCACGAGAAAGCCGAGAAAATACGATCCGAATCGAAAGTTAGAGGAAATTCCGCGCGATTGCGTACGAACGGGGCCTTACGCAAAACGAGGAACCGGGCATTGCGGTCGCCGGACGCTTCGCTCGCGTTCGACTTCGAGAATTGGAAAAGGGGATTCGGTCCCCGATCGTTCATCCGATTCCCCGTCGACAGAGGTTTTGAATCCCCGTTTTCTGTCGCATTCGGAGCGGGGAGCTCGACTCTCGGCGTTCCCCCGGGTCCGAGGGCATTCAAGATGGCTTGGAGGATCTGGACGATGATGGGGAGCAACGTCGTGAAGGGAAAGGGGAAGGAAAAGGTCCCACCCAGCCCCAGCGTCGTACACGTGCAGTTTATCGTGTTGGTCGCGATATCGAAAGTGCAGAACGGGAAACAACAGCCCGTCGTGCATCCGGAGCAGTACCCGCAGCAGCAATTACTGTCGTTGTTGTTGTTGTTGTTATTGTTGCTCGAACTCTGAGTGTTGATGACGTTGTTGTTGTTATTGTTGTTGTTGTTGTCGATCATGACGAAGACGAAAAGGAAGACCAAGGCTCCGAAGCCCATGAGGAAAGGACCGAAATCTTTGGTCATGGAGTCGCACTTGGGAGACGGCGGAGAATGGTAATAGAGATGAGGGTGAGGAACCATGGCGTAGGTGGGGAATGTCATCGGACGATCGTGAGGACGAGGAGGAGGATGAGGTTCGGGATGCGGCTTCCGTTTTGGGTAATGGTGGAACACGTGCATCTCGTTCTCGTCGGACTTCTCCAACTTTCGCTCTTCATCCTTTTTCTCCCTTTTCTTCATCAATTCTTCTTCCTCAGTCTTCTTTTTCATTCTTTCGATTTCCGCTTTCGCGTTCACTTTCCCGTCCATCCATCTGGGTCTCTTGTGGGCAATCGTCTCGCGCGTAGGGAAGTTGCCTCTATAGACGGTAGGGTATTCTGACCCGGAAGGGGACCTCGATTCCACACACACGAGACATACGAAGAACAAGGACGAGAAGATCTTTCCCTTCATCCCGAACCGAGGGTAAGATTTCCAAGACTGAACCGAAGAAAAGGGAAAGTCCTCGACCGCAAACAGAATCCATCATTTAGGTGGAAAAAAAAATATTGCACAAAAGAAAGAGCGGGGGAAAAAAAGAGAAGTCTGGTTGCCAGCTGGTGTCCATGGCTTCTCTAATGAATTTTTTCCTTCCCTCTCTTTCATCTTAACCTGTCCATGTTGGTTCGTTAAAGAGGGAGCCGGGTGTCGGTACTGGTTTCCTCAGGTGTCCGGGCACGAGTAGAAGTGCATGATTGCCCCGAGCTCCACCAGTTATTAATATAAAGAAAAGGCCATCTGGAATGGCTCTTCGTGCATCTGACGTAGCCTGTCTCGTCAATCCATTTGATGAAGAAGCGCTAATAGAGAATATTGAGTCTACATTGAGATAAGGGCCGAGGGCAAGGAAGAATTTCGCTTTATCATCGTGAAACGCTTGAGCGAATCCCAGAAATTTCACGCTTTCATTCCCATCACGCCCCCCCCCCCCCTCACCGCCTCTAATGTAACGATCATGATGTCGTTATTCAGGTTTTTGTGTGCATAAGTACCGATTGTATCTCAACGTAGTACCTA